TTTTTTTTTTTTTTTTTTTTTTTTTTTTTTTTTTTTTTTTTTTTTTTTTTTTTTTTTTGCCTTAAGGAAAGCTTGTGTCAATTTATTTAAGCCTTTGTGGAGGGTTTTTTTTTTTTTTTTTTTGATGAAATCAACCCTCATTTGCATTACGTGGAGAGGAAAGCCACAAAAACCTCTTAAGGAGACTCAAACCCATGATCCGTCTACCACTGAGGATATTTTACGTCAGCACTGTGGTCGGTGCGAGCCGGGGGCGGAATTCGTATCGATCACCCATCTCTGGGATTCGAACCAGGTTAACCACATTGGGAGGCGAACGTTCTATCTCCTTTGTTCGCCACGGATCAAGTCAGTCTATTGAAGATACAATTGATTATAGATGTCCGACTATTCACACAAGAATTACTTTTTTATTCTTATGCGTCATTTGCGCATTAAAATGGCTTCAACGAAAAGGAAAAAGACCAGAAGCTGGCACTAGAGGGTGGATCACTAAAGGAAAGAACAACTTGTTTCATTTTCTAATTTCAAACATTTTTTTAAACATAAACCTCCATTTTCCGTTTTGCTAATCAGACGGTGGTGATCAGTGTATGATGTAATATGTACTTTAATCTGTAATAATGGATAATATTTAAATACATAATGCTTCTTACACTCAGTATTTACTGTAATAATGTAACTTGGGAAAAAATTTTGTTTTGTTTTTTGTTGCATGAGATTTTTTAACAGGTCTTATATAATTTCGTATCACAGATTTCTGATTTGAAATTGGGTTCTCTCTCAAAGCTACAGTTTTTTTAAGCACGTTTTTAGTCGATCTTTTGTAGATATGTATAAATGCAAGTTAATCACATTATCAGGATAAAAATTGTATAGGAAACCATGCTAAGATGTGCCGTTATACGGAGGACTTCCCTAATATGAACTGTTTCTTTCTTTTCATAATTTAACAGATCGCAGTAGTGTAGAGCCTCATAGCAGGGTACGAAATCTCAGAGACTGGGTATTTTAATTCTGATAGTGTACCCTAACTCACCAAGAGATTTGTCACAACATTTAAGCGCCCCTCAGTTATATATAACACTTTTACATTTGTACATTTATTTAACCCTAAATGAAACAAAATTACCCATCACACTTATTCCATAAACCTCGTTTTTTTCAGTATGGCTGACCTTTGAGACAACTACTAGAGAAACATACATGATATTATGTAAAATAATTGGAATATAATTATTCAAATCATAAATCCTCTTAGTTGATAAGAATATTAAAGCCACTGCAAACAATGCATTTGAAAAATAAAATAACGAACATTACGCTCTTATAATATTTTCTCATCATTAAATTCATAAAAAATTACGTTTTGTTATTG